GAACCCGTGGCCTTGGTGTTATCAGTACCACACTCTCCCAAGTGAGCCACAGGCCGGCCCTTTTCTATGTTTTTTTTTTAAAGCATAGTTGTTTTTTGTTTGTTTGTTTCGTGGCTGGCTGGTAACAGGTATTGAACGCTGGACCTTGGTGTTAGCAACTAAGCCTAGTTGTGATATAGTCTGTAAAGATGCAACAAAGGCTATGGAAACACCGTTTCCTATCTCACGTTGCCATCTCTGCCAGAGATGTCTTAAGGTGCCAGACTCTCGCCTTGGGGTAGGCTCAATGTAAAATGTACACAACTGAATTGTGGTCAGACCACGGCCACCACGTTAAACCAGACATCAGCTTCTCAGCACAATGCAGCGATAGGAAGTAGCTCTTTGCACTGGCCAACCACATGCAGACCTCTGCTTGGCTCAGGGACTCACATTATAAAAGGAATCTCTCAGGCTCAAGTGCACCTGAAAGGAAGAGGACCAGGTGGCAATGCCCTACAGAGCCCTGTCTCGTAAGGCAACCCCCCACAAAGCTCTGGAGGCAGATGGCCTGGGTGCCGCTCCTGGTTTTCTGCTTCCCAGCTGTGGCCCTGAACACGGAGCCAGTCCTTGTTCCTCGATTCCTGTATGTGACCGCGAGGGAGTCTGCCACATAGAATAGCTGGAGGGTGAAGCAAGACCTCATGACATGCTCAGCCCAGTGCCTGGCACATAACCCAACCTCGACGGGGTGCTGCTCACATTATGATGACAGCTTGTATCTCACCAAGCTTGTAAAGCAGTGCATAGGTCCTTGGGATTTAACTGTTGGTCCTCAGAGAGCTGTGGGGCTGTCTCAGGAAGAGGAATAAAAGCCACCAGCAATCCATCCCGGCTGAGTTCACTCCAACATTAGACAGCCAGGTCCTTGGGATTTAACTGTTGGTCCTCAGAGAGCTGTGGGGCTGTCTCGGGAAGAGGAATAAAAGCCACCAGCAATCCATCCCGGCTGAGTTCACTCCAACATTAGACAGCCACCAGTTAAGGAGTTGATTCCAGCCAGAGGCAGAGAAACAAATAAATGACCCCTCAGGCCCCTTCCAAATCTAAGACCTAATGATTCAAATGGTAATATTAAAAGTTATTCAGTTTCAGGGAAGTAGGTGGAATAGGAAGCTCCAGAGGTCGGGCCCTCCACCAAAATAATCATTGAGCTTGAAAAAAACTATCAGTCAACTATTTTGGAATTCTGGAAGCTGATCCATACACTTACAGCAACCAGGAGTGCCTGATGAGGGAGAGGCTGCTGATACTATCCCCCATTCCTTGCAACTATCAGTCCTTCTGTGGCTAGGGGGGCAGTAGCCCATACTCCAGGAGTGGCTGGCTGCAGCCAGGGTAAGCAGTAAGGACCTTTTCCTCCAAAACATCCAGAAAAGAAGAAAGTAATACAATGGATATCCATATACTCACAACCAACCTTAAACAACTATGAAGAGTTAGCCATAGTCTTGCATTCTTTAAAGGTAAGAAAGTTTGTTTAACAATGTCATCTTAAACAGGCTTGTGTAATTCTGAGCAAGGGCTACCATTTCTGGAGCATTACTGTGTACGATGAGCTGAGTGGATTATATAGCTATCACCTCAATAAATGTCTAGGCAGGGTTTCTGCATGATCTCCACTGTATAGACAAGGAAACTGAGGCTCAGAAGTTAGGTAACTTGTCCAGGGTCACACAGCAAGTGAGTGGCAGAGCCATGGTTCAAACTCTGGCCACCTTCCTGACCACTGCCCTGTCCTGCTGCCTTCTGGAGGCCAGTGCTGGAAGCACAGCCCAGTGCCCACTGGCGTTTCCTCCACAGAGAGGCCAAGAAACTCCATGTGGAGCCCCCAAGAGCAGGTGGCATGAGGAGCTTCCTCAGGTAGGTTAGAAAGAGCAGGATGGCCTCTCTACCCTTGGAAGGACATGCCAGTTCCTGATAGCAGAAACAGAAGTCACTTGCTGATGGGAGAAAACAACCCTGTCTCTGAAGCAGCCTTGCCCCCTCCTCAAAAAATCGAGACTGAATCAGATGAAGACCTGGATTTAACTACCAATTTCAGGAACAGAGGATCATGTTCACCACCACCATAGGACTGCAACTGGTGTGAGGCAGAATGTGGGAAACCACAGGGTAAATGACCCGGTTTCTTCTACAAACAGAGAAAGAAAGAAAGGAAAAAGAGGGAAGGAGAAGCTATAATTTAAAAGAAACTTAAGACTGTGGTGATGGTCTCACAACTCTATACACATGTCAATATGGGTAAAATTTTACACAGCAAGTGTGTATAATTTAGTGTACTTCATTTTAACTCAAGAGAGTTAGGAGAAAAAAGAAGACTTAAAAGACCTATCAACCCAGTATAATGTATAGATCTCCTGTGGCTTTTGATTTGAACCAACTGTAAAACAAACAAACAAAAATTTATGAGGCAATTTGGGAAATTTGAACAGTGACTAGACATTTGACAATATTGAAGAATGACTGAGTAATATTTTTAGCTGTAATAATGGCATTGTGGTTATATTTTTTAAAAGAGTCCCTATCACTTAAAAATATATTCCTAAAAATATTTACAGATAAAATCATATGACTAATGCTGTGGTTTGAATGTCCCCCAAAGCTCATCTTAGAACTTAACCTCCAATATGTGGTAGAAGTTGGGGCCTTTAAGAAGTGATTGGATCATAAGGACTATGCCCTCATGAATGGATTGATCCATTCAGGGAGTAACGGGTTGATGGTTTAATGGGTTGTCATAGCCACGGTTCTGATGTCTTTATAAGGAGAGCAAGTGAGATTAGCTCTCTTGCTCAGGCCATTCTCACCATGTGACACCCCTTGCTGATGCACTGCTATAGAGAGCCACCATCAAAAAGAAGACCCTCACTAGGTGTGTTCCCTGGACCTTGGACTTCCCAGCCTCCAAACTGTAAGGAATACATTTTTTTTTTTCTTTATAAATTACCCAGTTTTAGGTCTTCTGTTATAAGCAACAGAAACAGACTAATACAGGAGAAAAAATGGCGACGGGTATGGAGCGCCCGTGTCAGGAAACGGCGCGATCCTGAG